ATAGCTGATTACAAGGTTTGACCGCTGTGGAACAAAAGTTAACTGTGCATAAATATCTGCAACAAGTGACATGTGTTACCTGACATTTGTGCCTCTGTTGTTCCCGGTCATGATTTCCTCCCTACGTCAAGCACCTTGAAACCTTGTAATGCATATGTTTATAGTATATTATATATAAGTATGACCTATGTTTCAAAAGAGGTAGGTGTAAGTCCCCAAAACTTTCAAAGTGAAATTTTCTCGTACCAATTTATTTAACGTAGTATTTTTGTTCTTTTAAATTTCGGCTAAATTACCCTACAATCGCCAGGGACTGAAGGGATTGTGTAAATCCAGCTAGGCTCCATGCAGGAAGCAAAAGTAATGTAAGTCCCCATGGTTCCTAGTATGGTAATCTACCTTCAGTTGTTGGCGATCTATAGCCCGTGTTTTATATTGTATTGTCTTCTTTAATTGGAATGTTTTAGCTTTGCTCGCTAGTTTCATATCTGTGATTTTCTAGTATTTTTGCTGTCCATCGTCGACAGGTTTTAATCTTCAAAATGTTTTCACATTTTATTGTATAAATTTTTTCGTCACGATATGGCTGAGATATTGCCGATGTGACGTTAAATATGAACTCACTCACTCACCCACTCAAAAGAGGTATGTTGAATATGTGGTATACATATTGATGGACTATTTGTCGAATACGGTGTTAATTCCTAAATATTCTTGGATTATCAATGTCTGAGTGGGCGATCACTAAGAACTGCCTAATAACAGGGTATTTTTCCTCATAGGGTAATTTACACTAATGGTTCTCTTCAGCCGTGACGTAACGGACCTAAACTGAACTCAACAATTGCGAAACGGGCACTGATGGTCATGTCGTAGCAGAACCTCAGTTGACTGCCCAAAGTTGCATCCCTTGGTCATGCAATGATCCTGATGTCATGTCGAATCTCTGATAATTTGCTTGAAATCATCATATGTGGTTTGAATTGGGTAAGAACAACTAGGCTTGGAGTTCTTCTAGCACCTTTATTGTTGGATTTCTGTGAAATACAGAAATAATAACAATATAGGAACAGGAAACAGATTGGCATAGGTCAATATACAATGGCAAAAATACTCTTGCCTTGAAATAATATCTATGTTTTCAAGGGAAGTAACTCTTGCGGGCCCTAATGCTTACTGATTCAACAGACAAAGTGAGTGAAACGCTAGTAATATATCCCACATACAGAAACTTGACAACTTCTAATAACCCTTTACTCTGCAAAGAATTCCAAATTGCAAAATATAATAAGTAATTACACAAAATAATCCTTTAATGAAGAAAAGTGCATTTACTTGAAAAGCTAGCGCGGCTTGAAACTCATGGACTTGTCCACTTTACTCGAAGGGATGAAAATTGGTTCGTATTCAAAACGGTGCAAAATGTTCTGTGCAAAATACAAATTTAGACCTGACACATACTCTACAAGAGAGAAGTGAGTGAGTGAGTTATTATTTAACGTCACATCGGCAATATTTCAGCCATATCGTGACGAGAACATATGTGGCATTGAAATGGAATAGAGGTATATTATAAAAACCTGTCGACGAAGGACAGTAACACAACTAGAACATCACAATTACAACTAAAACTAGTGTCGGAAATTAAAACTAATAGCACTATTTGGACAATACAATATAAAAACTGGCTATAGATCGCCAACAACTGAAGGTAGATCACCAAACTAGGGACCATGGGGACTTACAGTACTCTTGCCTCCTGCATGGACCAGAAGAGAGAAGTTAGACCTAAATTAAAGAAATCCAAAAATACGTAATTACATTACGTAAAAACAATAGCACTACCCTGAATAATAATATATTCGCCCAAGCATGAACATGCCAGGGAAACTTCGAATATAATCCTCTTTACAGATGTGAATTTAGACATACAATGTAAAGATGATATGTAATGTGAACTATGAAACAAAAGTTACCTGAAGAGTGAGCCTCACAAACACCTAGCATTTGCAACTCCTTCTCCCGAGAACAATTCTGGCAGCATGGGATGGCTGTCCAAACCCGAAATGCACGCTTTTACGTAATGAAGTAGCAAAATTATTGGTGAGCGCAGCGAAAACTGGGCTCTGAACATTCATTGTAGAAAACCTGACCGTAATTTCCCGTAGTTACCCTAAAATAAACTTATCAAGAGTAACCTAAATTAATAATGAAGAACTATTTCCTCACAAACAAAATTAACACTTTTAAAAACAGTTGAAAATGTCAGTCGATTCAAATCAACCTCCAGGGCAACAAAAGAGTGGAGCATCGGGGCTTGTGCATAACCTGGAACAATGTTCGCAATTCTCTTTTAGCTCTAACGAATGAAGTCAATAACTGTCATTATTTTCGCTCATAGTATAACCCGTTGATCAACAGTTCACTGATAAAGCGTTAATCTGTTGTTATGAGGATGTATTTTTGTTAATTATGTCACATTAATCAACTTTTAGTTATTATGGGTCACAAAAGTTTAAAGCGCTGAGTGTGGATGTGAACTTACATCTTGAACTTGGGCAGTGTTAAGAGAGTAAGCTAAGGAGTTACCTCATCTTTGTTGTTGTTGCTTCCGGTGGGAAAGAAGGGCCGAGAGGCGCTTCGATGATTGTGTTGTGGCGTGTAATTCGCTAGAAAAGTCTAGAATTGTATAACAGGTAATTAAGGGCCGGTTGTTAAGATGGGATACTACTGCTTTGAATTTCTGTCTGCTAACACCGACGCTTCACCACTCAAGAGGCCTACCAGCCGTCTACATTGTGCTTTCAACAGCTGTCAACAACCTTCTATCAGTGCATCTGTTTCTACAGGGAATATAAATAACTTTGGAGAGTTAATATTTTATATTTAGAGCTATTATAATTTCGTTATATACCTCTGATTTTCCAACACAGTATGTTTAACTCCATTGTACCATAACCGCATTATTTGGATTTTTAAAACAATACATATTTTGTTGGACAATCAGAGGTATATAACGTGCTTATATACCTCTGAATGACTATAATTAACCAATCACAATCCAGTATTTACTGAAGTGATGGTAGAATTTAGATTTGTGTCCCAATTGTTTTGTATTTGAAATCTGTACTGTCATTCATTGTATATAAGAATATATAATTGCATATTCTAGACTCGTCTGGGTTATTTTTTGCTGGTTTAAAGGGGACTCGCGAGTCTTTTACCACTGTAATACAGCTGATACTTCATTAATGAATCATTAAAATGTGATATACTATATGGTATTTGCCTAATAAAACCTTTTTTCTCTCTACCAAGTGTTTATGCGAAGCTTTCAGCAAATCATATTGAAATAGTTTGTCAAATTCGTGATTCAGCGGATGATTTCGAAGGTTTTGAATTCCATTCACACGCATATTCCACTGTACGCAAACCTTCAAAGTCTTTTGCAACAATGCGATTCCCTACCAAATCCGTTTACCGTATTTACGCTTCTTAAAACAAAGATGCAACATAACGACCGTCGCATTGGATGTATCCATAACATGAACATAAGAGAGACCACTTTCACATGATGTACGTTCTTGTGACTCATCCGGATTATTATGTTTACATATCTGATGCTTGTTGATAAACTGTTTACAGCTTTCGGTAAGGTTTGGAGTGTAGTCGTATGTTTAGTTCAATTTCACAACTTCGGAAGGAGCGGTTGGGTAGCCGAATGGATATCGCGTTCACATGTCACACCGAATACCCGGGTTCGAATCCTAACATGGGTACAAGGTGTGAAGCTCGTTTCTGTTGTCCCCCGCCGTGATATTTCTGGGCTATAGCGATAAGCGGAGTAAAACCATAGTTACGCACTCCTTTGATGACATGTCACTGCAATATGCAGGGTTTTCTCATCTTAGGAACTGCACGTTAGTCAAGTCGTATATTTTAATCATATATAGTTACTTCTATGACTAAGGGGGTGGTGGGGTAGTCTAGTGGTTACAGCGTTGGCTCGTCACGCCGAAGACCCGGGTTCGAATCGCCACATGGGTACAATGAGTGAAGCCCATTTCTGGTGTCCCCCGCCGTGATATTGGTGGAATATTGCTTAAAGCGGCGTAAAAACAAACTCAGTCAGTCAGTCAGTCAGTCTATGACTGAGGGTAGGGATAAGACGAATCATGACCGCCTTCACGCTGCACAGGTTGCAAGTGCTTGCCTGTCGCGAGCCAGTTTAGTCTGAACATTCTTTCATTGTACATAAAATCATATGCACTGGGTAAGTAACCTTTACAATACAGTTAAAATACGCAACTTTCATGTAAATGCCGCCACCATAAATTAGGATTAATGTTTCACGGACAACGTGTAAAATCCACTGAAGTGTATATGCTTTGTGAGTGGCCTACATATTTCTGCTCCAATAATGACCTCCGATTTGCTGTGCGAGTTTTCCGTGCATACCAGCGGCCTCTAAAGAAGGACATTGTTCGAAAATAAGGTCATGACCTAAAAATACGTATTTAGCGACCTGGGCGGGTGAGGCAAGAGCGGTTAGTGCATTGACTGAGACACCTGCAGCACAGGTAGAAAGTGCATTTCTTATCATGTTAACATAACATTAACGTCACCGTATGGCTATACATATTCACGATGCAACTTTAAGAATTAACCCAACCTTGGCCGACACAAATTGCAACCCAAATGTCACGACATATAAAAAACAAATCTGTATTTACACTACATCACTGTATTCGTATTTTGCTGATATTGTCTACTCCTGGTATCATACACCAGATGGGGGGATCTGACTTCGGCGTCATATTGTAATACACTAAGTACAATGGGTCTGCTTATATGTATTTCAGTTAAAACACTCACTATTAATTAATCGTTTTATATGATCATATATTCAATGATACGTGGCAGATATTTTTGACATTGTCATCAGCTTTTGTTGTTGCCATGCGGCTCTGTTTGTAAGTATTACATGTAATTCAGGAACAATGGATGTGTCTAGACGGAATATAGACGGGGGTTACGCTTGGGTGATCCTTTTGGCTGCCTTCACCTTACAGTTCATGGCGGGAATATTGGCGTACTCTCCTGGTGTCACAAATATCGCCGTGTTGGAAGAAATTGAAAATGATCTGACTCAAGCTTCCTGGATAGGCGCTGTCAACTTTGGAACGTGTTCGTTATTAGGTAGGTGTGTGCGTATGCATATCTGCGCGCGCGCGTATGTGCATGGTGACTGGTCTTTCTGGATAGGCGCTGTAAACTTTCGGAACGTGTTCTTTATTAGGTAGGTGTGTGCCTATGCATATGTGTGTGCGCGCGTGTATTTGCATGGTGACTGGTGTCCTGCACTTCCCTTGTGCAAAGGTGAAGGTTGAGCACGGATTCGGATGAGTTATCAGTATCCAAAATAAACCGCCCACCCCATCCCCGAGATTTGATGCTGATTTTTTCCCGAATTTCGAATATATGTTACAGTAGTATTTATCTGATTTGTACTCAACATGATATATTCTTTTATTGTTAACTTACGAAATGACAGATGGCTTCAACACACCAATAAATACAGCTTTATTGAAATAAAGAGAAAAAGAATAGCTTGACTATTCCGGAAAATGTGTGTTCATTTGCATTTAAGTTATTAAACTTTTTGGGGAGTATGAAGCATTTGAAAAAACATCTTGTATGAAACATATCTTCACAGGTCCAGTGGCTGGCTTAATTCAGGCTAAAACGGGATCACGAATAACAGCAATGGCCGGTGGCGTGCTCACATTATTTGGAATGACAGCTGCATCCTTCTGCAAATCGATACCAGCATTAGTGGTCACCTACGGGTTTATATCAGGTATTAACCATACATTTCCAAAGAAATAGCTGTCGTTCTATTGGTAAACATAAGTTGGGGCAGCCCATATATGGATATTTGCACATATGGATCATGTATTAATTCATGTCAATAAAAATATGAAAGTAAAACCTGACAAGGCAATTACTGAAAATGAGAAGAAATGAATACAATATAAATACCTTGAAAGACTATGGGAATGCTTCAATCACATATCGCTACATATTACTCAGTTCCAACACGACTCTAAAATCTTAAGTAGGGTGTAGGATGCAACATTTGACGTTTGATAATTTCAACCCTGAAGTTTCTTCTTCAGTTTAATGTGAATATTTATTTCGTTCTTTCAGGATTTGGGATTTGTCTCGCCTGTAATGTTGTAGCAGTTGTTGCTGGAAACTACTTTGACAAACGAAGGGCTGCAGCTTTCGGTGTCTGTGTTGCGGGTGGAGGGATGGGTCTGTTGGTATCTGGCCCTCTTGTCAGATACCTTCTCAATCAGTACAATCTCAGCGGGGCGCTCCTGATTCTTGGTGCTATTGAATTCCACATGTGTGTTGCTGGTGTGGCTTTAAGGCCTCTACACCACCAACAGTCACAATGTGTTAGTATAACCACTAACCAAGACTCGGATGAACACTGTTCTTTTCTTCACGAGGAAAGGAAAGACAAGCTAAGAACAAAGGAATCCATCATCAGGTCTGGAGACATGCATGGGCAAAAAATACAATTTGATGACACACATTTGGATCAAAGGGACGATAGTTCATTTCAACAACATGCTCCAAACCGTGACCAGAGCCACGTACTAATTTCTGAAGAGACTGGACCGATCTATTCATCTTCCGATGTCAGAAAAGTGTCAAGAATGTGTTGTCATTTCTACAGCAAAATTGTACACCTCAAAGGCTTTTTGGTGTACAATATTAGCATGATGCTCTGGATATTGGGTGAGTCTGCAGCTGTGTTCCATCTCCCAAACTATGCTCAACAAAAGGGAAGCTCAGCGTATGAAGCTGCAACTCTGTTCACTGCAATGGGAGTCGGTAGTGTATTTTCAAGAGTGGCTACAGGGATGATAGCTTCAGATCCGACAATTCCATACACGGTGCTCCACGTCGGACTTGCTGGCCTGTCCGGAATGGTACTTCTGTTTTTCCTCTTTATTCCCACAACTACAGCACACAGTTGGTATTTGGGCTTCTGTATGGAACCTACAGCCAAGGCTTAAATGCACTGATGGGCCCAGCGATCACTGACTTGGTAGCCAAAGAGAAGATGTCTATAGCCTATGGATTTATATTCTTTTTTTGCGGGATCGGGAATATACTTGGACCACCAACAGCAAGTAAGTGATCACTAAACCAATTATCTTGCCTCACACATAAATGTCGTTTTTGATTGGCTGAGCGCTCTTCTAATATTTTCAATGTATGCCGATTACAAGCGAGTAACATTTTCTATGTACCCCGCTGGGAATGCCGAACTCATTTGGTACTTCATAGTAGTAATTCTTTATCTCGAATAACATTGAATCACTTATGATGTACGGAAATTACCGATGTTTTGCGAATGCAAATCGATGGAAGGGAGATAACTCTAAATCATTTTTCTTGTCGTCTTGTACTCCATACTATTATCCGATACCCGTGTTCAAAACAGTTCAAAATTACCATTGAGGTGTTCGGTAAGATAAATACGTTGCTCATTGGTCCTTCGGGGTCCATGGTTCGGGCTCAGGGAACATAAACAAACATCGAAGGTACATCAACCCAATGTCCCCCTCGTGACCAGTGAACAACTTATAATGTTATATGAAACGTCCCTGCTAATGAGTAGCCAGTTTTCATTGATAAGCCGAAACATATTCTATGGGGCTTACATGGCAAAATAGTTGTGAAAGTTGTATGAATGGACACATGAAAATTAATGATAACACCATGTGTTCGCGAATAGGGTAAGTTTGACCTCATCGGCCAATAGCACAAACCATTCACCAATTGCATAAATAAGTAAATATTTCATGCATGTGGCTCCATGCTTGTAGATACATTCCTGTCACACGACGGCGCCTTGTAAACAAACCATCAAGTGGTTGATTAAGTAGAAAACACAAATAAATAAACATATGTTCACTACTCAAGCTCATAACTCGACATTCACTTCTGTTCTTTGAAGATGTCACAAGTACGTTTTGTTTAATTAGGATGGACATGGTGAGTGAGTGAGTGAGTGAAATAGGATAGCATGATACATTTTCAGTGATCCCTTTATATGTTTAACCATTATTTTCTTCCAAAGGAATTTGTTTCAGCAAAGGATCTAGACAAATCCTTCACTGCACTTGTGGATGTTTGAACATCACTTCAGTTGAATCTTGATGTGCCACTATAGAACGGGCGCTTATACCCGGCAGTAGTTAAACGATCCGAGCCTTATGTCTAACCTAAATAACTGACCCATGTACGTTGATTTTATATCCTGAAAAGGGTAAATTTACATTGTGTATCTTGATTATGAACATTTTTGCCATGAGTAGAGGTAATGTTTGTGTAATATAATTCTGATAGCCGTGTTTCAATTGCAGGCTGGATATACATGTCAAGCGGAGTGTATGACTTCACATATGTCTTTGCAGGTAAAGTGTTTTTCTGATGACTTTGTGAAATTTCGCATATGACACAGAGGATGTTTTCAAAATAAAAATAATTATGTCCGGATAACATCGGATTGTGCCATTATCAATCAATCCTGTCACTTCCTCCAAGTTTGGTGCGGTGGGGCAGTCTAGTGGTTAAAGTGTCCGCTCGTCACGCCGAAGGACTGGGTTCGATTCTCCACATGGGTACAATGTGTGAAGCCCATTTCTGGTGGCCCCTGCCGTGATATTTCTGGGATATAGCGAAGAGCAACGTAAACCCACATTCACTGGGTTGGTTTCCTGACCGCGTAACAGTGACTTTGATCTTCATGTCTGGTATGCACATATTCAGGGTTTTCATCTTAGGAACTGCAATATTGGATTTCAACACGTTAGGAAATTAAACGTGTTATTTTACATATTAAATAAAAAAAGTACTTCTTTCAATACAAAGGTAAATGTTCCCAAAATGTTTGTTATATGTATGTACTAAGAATACATTTCCATAAGAAATGATTACATTTCTGTTCCAGGTATATGCTTGGTCATGAGTTCAGTGTCGGCAGCAGCAATCAGTATGGTGAGAGAGAAGGAATAGGAGAAACACCTTTGCTGGCCATGTAAGGAGGACATGTGTTGCTATCTGAGAACCTCTAGTCATGCTGCATGTTAACATAGGTCAGGTGAAATTGGGTTTAACGTCGTGCATGAATACTCCACTCAGACACATTATACTGACTCCGAGCTGACCAGTCCTTTTTGTACCCATTAACTCATTAAGCCCGAGAGCCACCTCACTGCTCAACACCTGGAACCCCTTGCTGATTGCCCACTCGCTGTGCCGAGACTAATTAGTGCTAATCACACCTGATTGCCCTGGCAGGTTTCGGGGATGACAGGAAACTGTCTAGTCGTACAAACAAGTCCTGATTGTTTAATTGTGTCGTAAAGATATATGTTGGAAGAAAGCAGGTGTGAATACATATCGTGTATTGAAAAGTTTTATGTAATTTTATTGCAAGCTTCTCTTGTAAAGCATCAGCAGATTCTATTTCTTTTAGGGTGAGTGGTAGAATGTTCCAGAGATAGGGGGCTGCAGCAGAGAACGCTCTTGATCCCATGGCTGTTTTGACGTGAGGCTGTGTAAGCAGTAGGGAGTTTGATGAGCGGAGCAATCGGCTTGGAACATGGAGATGAATGAGGCTTTTAAGATATTGAGAAAACATGTTTTCATAGATGCAGCTGTGTGTAAAAAGAAGAAGTTTGTATTGAATTCTGCTTGATACAGGAAGCCAGTGAAGAGTTTGGAGGATAGGTGTCACAGTTTGGTAGCGTGGTGCACGGGCAACAACACGACCTTTGGTGGCTTGTACATTTATATTTTATCACCATTTGCATGTATTCTGTATATGTAAGAGATGGGACACACAGAAACAAATTCTCCCTCTCATATCATTGTGTGAGGTTTAATTTGACAAAACATCTATGACAATGACATACCGTAAAGAAGAATTTATTTACATACTTTATCATCTTCGACGAAAATAGCGTTTTTGCCGATACATTTCTAGTGTATACGAATTATTTTAATGAAAGTACTATTACGCTAGTCTGTGACTAACATAGAGCACATTCATAGCTTGGCACTTTGTTTCATCTAGATTTAATGCAGAAAACATACGTGACCATACAAACATACATATAAATAATGTATACTACGTATTCCTTGCATAGAAATAAAACAAAGAGTCACGTGATAGGGCGTCATCAAATTTCCCGATTAGAACGTTCGGTATCTCAACTGCTCAATATAGTGGCTGGTCATATGTTATCTGTGACCAATCGTATGATTAGATACCTGTCACAGAGGAAAGGACAGGTGATCTGGCGTGCGTGAAATTTCTGAAGAGCACATTTTGTCACTCAACATCTTGGATAGAGATTGATTATTGGCTATATCGTTGACCAGTCAATATGCTGGGTTTCTGCTTTATCAACTCAAGCTATAATGTAACAGTTTGTGTATTGTAAACATACACACTGGTAACGATGTATGAAATATACACGTAAGACCAATAGGAGTAGATAGACACTTTGGCGAGTTGTATTGGTCCTCATTTTAGTGTTTTTCGATACGTAGAACAAAGCGATTGAACTCCAACCATTGAGTAGAGATAGTATTTATTTTCATATAGATTTTACTGACGTATATATATTCGATGCAAAGGCGCGACATTCGATTAGGTAACATTATCAACTTTAGATTATGGAAAGTAACTAGTTAAAATTCAGTAGGCTTCAAATTAGTAAGTTAAATTATGTCGGATGTATTGGATGTATAATTATTTGTGTTTATACATTATGTTTCATGATATGAAACATGACAATATAATAATACCTAAAATATAAATTTAAACTATTCTATTGTGTTTGAATGCTTTGTATGTCCTTGAAATTTCGTATATTGTTTCCTATTTTTTTTAAGGAAGTTGAAAAAATATAATCTTCAGTAACCTCTAAACCATTACATCTAATTCTATCAATGTGCATACGAAGTATTTTAGTATGAAGAATACCAGGTGTATTCCCATACTGCCTACAGTTCTAAACTGCCTACAGGTTAAAACAACATGATACGGTCCAGTGATCAGGAAGTGAATACACCGATCTGACCGGTTATCTCCCATTTGACAGACACCCATTTGACAGACACCCAGTTGGCAGACACTGAGCAAGAAGGTTAATTAGGGTAACACCTACCGGTATAATGGAACAGTCCACAGTCTAGTGAGTGGAGGAGGCTGAGGTTCGTTATTGAGAAGCTTGGTTTGGTTGAGTGTAAATAAAACTTTGTTGTGATTAAATGATAATCTGTTTTCTCTTCTCGAAGTTGGTTTTACTATCAATTACTATCGAATAGAGGTTTGTCACTGTTTACACAGAACTTGGTCGCCGATTAATGATAATCTGTCTTCTCTCCTCACTTTGTTTTTAGTATCAATTGATCTTTGTATGAGGAAAGATCTTAAGAGAGTTTTACATCTGTTTTTAAAAACAAGGATTAATTAATTAATTTTATCAATAGACTAATTTTAAATTGACTCAACAAATATATAAAATGGTGAAAAGCATATCTGTTCGATATCAATATGGCTGGAGTGCGGAGAGTGGAGTATCTGATGTCACAGAGAGGGGCCCCTCAAATTGTTCTGGATAGTTATGGTTACACCAGAAATAAGGTCAGACAGATCTGCACCCACTGGAGATGCGTCGTCAAGACCTGCACGGGGAGGTGTTCAACTGTCGGAGACTTCCTTCGAACACAGACAGAGCACAACCATGCACCAGATGACGACCCCAAGCAAAAGTTTGTCAGTGAACTGTGCAAGCGAGCTAGAGAGGAGACAACACAGATGCAGACCTTGTACACAGAGCAGCTGTCAGTAGAGGAGGAAGACAACCTACACGTTCTTCCATCTTTCACCAGCGTCAGCAGTTCTCTGTACAGACACCGCCGCAAGACCATGCCAGCGTTACCTACCACCCTCCGAAGAGGTGGATTTGGAAGACAGTTGGACAGAGACAAGTGATGGACGTCGTTTCCTTCTTCTTTCTGATGGAGAACAAGACAAGATCCTAGTGTTCTCTACCACTGAACAGCTCCAGGTGCTGCAGACACCCGATACCATCTAGATGGATGGAAATTTCACTGCCTGCCCTGAGCTTTGGGATCAGGTTTACATAATACATGCCCGTTGCAACTCTGTGTCATACCCCTTTGTTTTTGCCCTTCTGCCTGATCGTCAAACCACCACCTACGTTAGACTGTTCCGCCTCCTCAAGGAGAAGGTGTTGGAGGAACTGAATCGTCCCCTGGCCCCAGCAAAAATACAGACAGATTTTGAGCTTGCCACCATCCGAGCCATCGGGATGGAATTTCCAAATGCAGAGACCAAGGGACGCTTCTTCCACTTCTCCCAAGCCCTGTGGAGGAAGACACAAGATCTAGGTCTCACAGTTGCATACAAGGAGGATCCAGCAGTAAAAGAGTTCATCAGGAGATCAACTGCCCTTGCCTTATTGCCACAAGATCAGGTTCAAGACACCTGGATTGATGCCATGGACTCCTCCCCAGCCTCTGACCGCATTGAGGACTTCAAGGATTACAGGGTCGTCACATGGGTGGACTATGACGCCCGATTCCCACTGTCACTTTGGAACCATCACAACACTGTAGGACCAAGGACCAACAACAACTTGGAAGGTTTCCACAGTCGGATGAACAGATCTCTTCCACACCGCCACCCCAACATATTTCGCTTTGTGGAAGTAATTCGGAGGATCAAGATGGCTGACAGAGCCAAGGTGAGACAACTCGACTTTGGGGCTGCTCCTTCAAGTCGCAAGTCTACAGAGAGATCGACAACAGGATCCTGAGGCTCAAAGACACACTGAGTCGCGGCGAGAAATCTCCTTTTCAGTTCCTAGATGCGGTGGCCAACCTCATAAAACTTGGCTAACAAGACATGAACTTTACTGGACTTGCTATAACTAAGCTTTAATTAGATCTATAAATACAGATAAAATATTGCTATGTCAAAGGTATATCTACTTGAAACTACTGTGCTACTATTATGCATTGTTATTTGAAAAACATTATATTCTTGTTATCAAATAAATATTAGATTTTTTTCTTGTGTTTTTATTTGGACTATTCCATTATAATGTGTAGGTAACAGGTAGTTGCTCATCTGTTCATTGAACCGTAAATGTTGTTGTTTTAAGGTGTCTGCGAACTGGCTGCCTGCGTAATGGGAGGACACCATCTGACCTGTTCTACCCCTGCGAAAATGTGATGGTGCGTGTATGTTACAGTGAGACAATGGATAAACTGTGAGATGCATGAAGGATCTGAGTATCCATGACTAAGAAGGGACGACGGAAAAACGTTGTAGGAAGCCATCAAAGTGAGAACTCCGGGGATAGAGTGTCGAATGTAAACAGTGACAGCTCCGTAAACACACAAACAAAACTGGAGAATAACAACAAAACAAGTGAGCATTTAAGTCAAACCAGAGCTGTATTGTATGAAAATATGTATTGATAATCAACATCCCCATGTACCCCCAAACCATTCAAACATATGAACTTTGATAAAAATGAACACACACCACACACACACACACACACACATTCACACACACCACCCGGGACTATTTCGCCTGGGTACACAGCTGCCTCACAACCGCCGCACAACTTGCACGCTTTGACCCACATACAAACAACTACCCCCAGCATGGATATGGGTCAGCTGAGTACATTTATGATGAGGGTAGAAATGCAACTTTCAGGAATAAATCAAAAGCTGGAGCGCCTTGATGCCATGGATATAAAAATAAAGAACCTGGAAACAATGGTAGGATCTAATGATTCCAAGTTAAATTCACTCGGACTCCAAATGCATGAAAACTTTAAATCTACCAGTGATCAATTACGTACGCTTCAAGACAATATTGACAACAACAGTTTTAATGTTGGAATCGCATCGGATAAGATAAGCCGACTGGAAGATGAACTGGCAAGACAGCGTGATATTGTTCTAGATCTACAATCTCGCTCTATGAGGGATAACCTGCTCATTGTGGGTGTGGGAGAGGAGAGGCGGAAGAAGAAGAAAGAGGATGGTACAGATGGAGAAGAGGACGAGGAGGAAGATACGCAAGAAGTTGTCAGAAATCTCTTCAAGGAAAAGCTGCAGATAGCGGAAGGAATAGTTCAGAGCATGACTTTTGGCAGGGTTCACAGGGTTTACAACTTCAGAAATAGACAGCCGCGTACTATAGTGGTTAACTTTAAAAACCATAGAGACAGGGATCTTGTTAAGATATGCGCAAACAAGCTGAAAAGACCACGGATGTATATAAATGAACAATACCCGCCCGAAATCAACGAACAGAGACGACAACTTTTATAAGTTATGAAGTCTAAGAGGGCTGAGGGAAGACGATGTAACCTGGTGTACAATCGACTGTACATCGATGGACAGCTGTACAAGCCCCCTGTGTAGGGACACGAAGAGGGTGGACTTAGAATCTTGGTATGGAACTGCAATGGACTGACACAAACTAAGAAAGACTCGGATAGTTTCTGTAAACTAATAGATAACTATGATATTGTGGTCTTGAGTGAGACATGGACTAATACAAGAAGTAAAATTGAACTGAACAATTTAAAGCAGTACCGTTTCATCGTGCATATGTAAAGAAGAATTCTAAACGGAATAGTGGAGGAATGATTGTGTATGTTAAGACCTGCTTATCCGTAGGCATGTCCATTATTAGAAAAGATCTTAATACACTAATCTGGTTAAAATTGGATAAGAAGCAATTTGGTTTAAGTAGGGATTTGGTTGTTTGTGCTGTGTATATTTGGCCTGAAGGTTCTGTTATGTATGGTGTACACAATGCTAACTTGTTTGAACTGGTCAGAGATGGTTACAACCACTTTAAACAGCAGTATGATGTCATCATAATGGGAGACTGCAATGCTCGTGTGAGGACAAGAGTTGACAGCGTAATTCATGATTCCTACAACAAATTTATAGACGATGCTGATTATGTACCTGACGTACCGCTAGCTAGAGCCACCATGGATATATCTACAAACACGTTTGGAAGTCAGCTAATTGATTTGTGTAAAAGCACAGGTCTGAGGATAGGAAATGGACGTTTCAAACAAGATTCAACAGGCAGATGTACATTCCATAACCATAATGGCATGTCAACAATTGATTATATACTTCTAGATGAGGACAGTTTTGATCTTCTAACAAGTTTTACTCCACTGGAGTTTAATGAATTCAGCGACCATGCACCGCTCTCTATAGCAATAGCCTGCTGCAAACAGAGTTTCTTTACACCGAGTGTTGAGAGACAGTCCCATGTATATTATAAATGGGAAGACAAGTATACAGAGTCTTACAGAGAGAGTCTACGGGACAGGATGGATGAAATTAGTGATTTAATTGAGAACTGTACAGGTGATAGTATTAGTGAAACTGTGGGAAGAGTTACCGATATTTTAGTGCAAACAGCCAGACCATACACTGAGAAGACGTTTACCAAAACTGTGAATAAGACGGAATATTTAGGGGAAAGGAATATTACATCTAAATGGTTTGATAAGGAGTGTGAAGTGCATAAACTGCAATATTGGGATGCATTAAAAATATTTAATAGAAATATGATAGATGCGAACAGGATCGATCTATGTGAGAAGAAGAAAACATAAAAGCGTATATGCAGACGAAAAGGCGAGAATCACTGAAGCACAAGCGGCTCAGGGAATTCTGGAACTACTTTAAATCACATAGAAGTATGAGTGAAACGGACATTTCTTGTAATGACTTCATGAATTATTTTTAAAATATTGCTGGTTCTTTTAACACCCCATCACGTGACGATGTTGATAAGGCGGTGAACTCAAGTATGACCAATGAACTGCAGTTTGACATCACCACTAAAGAAGTGCGTCAAGCAATTAGAAATCTTAAAAATAACAAATCGTCTGGAATAGACCAAGTTATAAATGAATATTTCAAATGTACATGTGAACTGATGATTAATGACATTACTAAAATGTTTAATGTAATCTACTCATCTGGTATATATCCAAAGACCTGGACCGATGGAGTTATCATTCCTCTACATAAAAACGGAGACGCTCATTTAACATCGAACTATCGCGGCATCACAATTAATAGTGGCTTTGCAAAAGTGTTTTCATCTGTATTGAATAACAGACTTATGGTATGGGTTGATAAATATAACGTCATTTCAGATGCCCAGTTTGGATTCAAACATGGTTATTCTACCGTGGATGCATTATTTGTACTCCAAGGACTTGTCAGCAGCTATCTACAAGAAAATGCACGCCTTTATTGTTGTTTTGTTGACCTTTCAAAGGCGTTTGATACTGTCTACAGAGATGGCCTGTTGTTTAAATTACATAACTTGGGAATACGTGGTAAAATGTGGACTATTATAAAGGCTATGTATGCCGAGGTTAAAGCTTGTGTTAGATATAAAGGTAATATCTCTGACTACTTCCATGTTACTGTTGGTATAAAACAGGGCGAGGTCATGTCTCCCATATTATTTTCCTTGTTCATGGAACATCTCGAAATGAAGCTCCAAGAAAACGTCGATAGTGGTCTTTGGATTGAATATGTCAATCTGTTCCTTATATTGTTTCCTGATGACATGATCTTGCTTGCTGAATCGCCGAGTGGACTTCAACATTCTCTGGATAGTTTGCATGAATACTGTAGTGACTGGGGCCTACAAGTTAACATTATGAAGACAAAAGTGATGGTTTTCCGCAAAAGACGAAAATTAAACCAGGATGAGCATTGGTATTTTAATACTATGCAGCTTGAGATTGTAGATGAATTTAACTACTTAGGTAATATGATTACATACACAGGTAATTTCAGATTTACTCAAAAATTGTTAGCTGTAAAGGTTCAAAAGCTATGAATGTTCTGCTCCATAACATTAGAAATGGTCACCTTTCTGCTAAAACATGTTGTGGTCTGTTTGATTCTTTTGTTACATCTACTATGCACTATGGTTGTGAAGTCTGGGGTTTGCAAAACGCAATTGAAATTGAACGTGTACATTTAAAATTTGTAAAAATATCCTTAAAGTTCATCACAATGTTACTAATATGGCTGTATATGGTGAACTAGGTCGTTTTCCTTTGTATATTAATAGATATTTAAGGGTTGTAAAATACTGGTTCAAACTGCAATGTACATCAAATTGTCTCCTTAAAGTAATCTATGAATTGCTGTTGTCACAGTGTAATAATGGCGTCAAAAACTGGGTGTTCCATGTTAAAAATGTTTTATTTATATATGGTTTTGGATATGTTTGGTGTGACCCAGGATGTGTTGACGCTAGTACATTTTGTTGTCAATTTAAGCAACGCTTAATTGATTGTTTTATTCAAAAATGGCATCATGACATTACTTCAAGTAGTAAATTATGGCTATACAGTAATATCAAAAGTGAATTTAGATATGAATTATACTTAGATGCTTTTACATCCAAACACTGTTAGGAATTAAAAAATGTTACGAATTTCGTGTCATAAATTAAAAATTGAAACTGGGCGTTATGAAAATATTGATCGGGAGAAAAGATATTGTATCTACTGTAAAGAAAATAATGTAAATGTAATTGAAGATGAATACCATTTCGTTTTAATTTGCCCAAAACATACAGTACATCGAAAACAGCTGATTAAACCTTATTTTTGGAAGAAACCAAGTATGTTGAAATTTTTTGAATTATTAAGTAACACATGTAAAGATAGTATTACAAAATTATGTAAATACATAAAGTTATGCATGCAAGTACCGCAATGTTTTGTCCAGCTCCCTTTGTAAATGTACAAAATATGTATATTTCACTGGATAACCATATTCTATCATGTATACAGTGTAAAATGATGACGAGGGACATATAGCCCAAGCCTTTACTGAATAAACAATCGAATCGAATCGAGGCACTGTGGAGCATGTTTAGCATGTCCTCTGAAGCAAAAGCCAGTATCTTGTCGTCGTCACCATCATCAATGCACAATAATTGCTGTCCATCTTTTGTCTGAGTCTATGATCCTTCGAGTTGAACATCAGCTAGAGACTTGGGTAGGTTTGGTAGAACTTTGCTTCTGTGCCGATAGCGGGATGACTTTAAACTCGAGAACGATCGTACAGACGCTGGGTCAGCAACCTCGGACAACTCTTCATCATACAGCTGCCGAATGGATGTGACGTCCTCCTGTACACGCTGACGCAGTCTGCTAAGTAGTCGAATCTCATCTTCAGATTCCACTGATTCTCTGGTTTCAGTCAGCATGGGATTAGGCGTAGCAGGTATCGGGTTGTTATCCACCATCGTGGCCGCACCCATGGTGCTAGGCATCGAAATAACAGCCGGAGTGGTGGGGTTGATGGGATTGACCCTTAAGTATGTGTCTCGCAGACTGCAACGTAAAGCATTGAAACATGACGAAATTAGATATCTGGCTGAAGCGAAGTTAAACACGATAGATGATCATATTTCCACCGCGCTCTGACTCTAAAATCTCCGAGGTAGAGTTTCGTTTGGTGCTATCAGAAATCGGAAATTATGACAGAATGAAACAAGAGATTCAGACAAAGTCTCGTAAAAACGACGTCATCAGCGAACACGAGAAAAAAAATTCATAGAACAAGGGAAGCAACAGGCCCGACAAGCCTTCATTCTGACAACCAAACAAATCATAGGAGATTCACAATTAACTGTTTCACGGACATCAACATAACGTAGCCAGCCATCTCAGCGAGCTGTAGGTAAATAGTCGAGCCGAGACATACACACTGTGACTCGACCACAGCGATCGCTCCATGCTACCAAGACGGCAGCGAGTCGACCCGCGGGAACTGCCGAGAGATGCGGTATGATTTAGTGGAAATCAACATAATGTTGCCAGCCAGCCAGCCAGCCAGTCGGCTGTACAAGCTGAGCCGAGCCACACACTGCGACTCGCCCACAGCGCTTGCTCGGTGATACCGAGACGACAGCCCGGGGAGGAAACTGCCGAGAGATGTGTTTCATTCACTTTCAGACATCTGTAGCCTCGCTAGTCAGACGGCCGTGCATCATCATCATAGCCGAGCCGAGAGACACACACACACTTATACTCGTCCACGGCACTCGCTCAAAGAAAACCCCGAGACGGTAGTGAGGTGATGACTTCCGAGACCTGCGTTTCATTCGGCTAAAAACACCTCTCGCCTCGATAATATATAACAAGTACGTTGGATTGTTACCGAGCTTTCGCCCGACCGACCACATGCTCACTAAAAAATGACTATTTCCTAAACTATTTGACCGATTTTCGTGATATTTTGCATGCATCTCGGCA